GGAACAAAGTTTCAAGGACAGTTTGAGCACCTGCTTAAGGAGATGAAGATTGCGCATCGCAAGACATCCAGGTACTATCCACAATCAGACGATTTGACAGAGAGGTTGATTTAGACGTTGAAGAAGGGGCTCAGGGAGTACAGCGAGCAACACAAGCGTGATTGGGATGAGGAGCTGCCTTGGGTGTTGGTTGGATACAGGTTTGCCAAGCAAGCAGCACTCCGGGACCTCTCACCGTACTACATGCTGTATGGCAGGGATGTGAAGGATTGAGTAATGAAAGAAGAGAGAGTTCACTAGCAAACATTGGGATACATATAGCAAACCCTAAAAGGGTTGTACTCACTATAGAGTACCCCACTTCAGACTAGAGAAACATAATATTCTGACAAGGGAACCAGTTTTACCTATCAATGCCCCCAAGCTGCTGGCCGCTACCATTAGCACGGACAAGGCTGAGGATTGGGCAGCACTAGCTCACCGTAGGGCGGAATATCTTAAGGAGCTCATACTAGCTGCACTGGAGAATCTGCATGTGGCTCAACTGCGAGATGCTAAGAGGTATCAGTAGAGGAAGGAGACTAATAAGAAGCACCAGGACAAGGGTGTGGCGGAAGGAAGGGAGGTGTACCTGCGCAAGGCAAAGGTGTTGTAGAGGACTCTCCTCTACTTTGTAGGAACTGGTATTTGTCCTAATCAGTAGAGCTATGTCTTAGCTTTCCAACGAGCCGTCAATCACTTCGTTCGCCTGAGAAACGAGTGAGCTATAGGTGGAAACGTGAAGAATATGCTCTAGGAACAAAGATTTGGAGCTCTCTGGAATTTTGTCGAGTTGCACCATGTGCAAGAAGATTCAGGATTTCAGTATGATTTCATGCAATACAAAGAAAACAGATTTATAGCATAAAAACAAGATCGAGTCGCACAAGTAACCTCGAACCGCTACACTCACGAATGTTCGAGTAACATTTCGAAGGGGTGAAATTCGGCACCCGAATTTCACCGAACCGAATTCTACTTCATTCTCGATTGTTCTTGTGTTGCCATGTGGCACCAATTGAGAGGGTCTTCTGAAATCAACCCACACTGTTCGCGAAACCTGCAGTTTCATGCAACTCATGAGCACCGAAACACATTCGGTGGGTTGGGGGCATACAACCGCCCCACCACCACTTGCTTGCAACACACTCAATCTCCAACAAAAGGGAGATACTCTGGACATGGCAGTGGGAGCAGAGAGATGGAAGGTAAAAGAAGTGCGACCTTTGGGGATGCTGGGGCTGGCAGATGAGCAGCGCGAGCATGTGACAAACGTCGCAGTGGCGAGAAAGGCGGTGCCCAAGTTGGCGGGTCCCATGATCAGAGCCGCTAAGGCAAGGGCTTCGGCACAGGAGGGGGCAGGGATGCATGGGCACTAAAGGGAGAGAAGAGGAAGAGATGCAACCTGGGACTAGGGATGGGGAAGGCAGGGAGCAAAAAAGGGAAGATGAGACAAGAATGGGAAAGAGAGGGAAAGGAAGGGCAGCACGAGCGCAAGAGAGGAGCAGAGGATGAGGTTACGACAGCTGTCGCACTATTAAGCGTGGCCTCAAACCACAGCTGAAGTAGTGCAGCAGCAAGGGTAAGTTTGTGGTGTTTGCTTTTATCTGTTTTCGTTTCACTGTCCACTGTACTATATTGTTCTTGCTATTTCGTTTTGGGAGGGAGTTGGTGGCCAGATTTTGAGGGGTTGGTGTGCTCAAGGTGCGAGGGAATTGGGAGGAGAAACCCAATGCATGCGGTGCGAAGCTGGATGGCGGTGGGGAAGCTGTATTCCAACTAGCTCGTAGGTAGCCAGCTAGCACCTTGGAGTGCGCCGAAGAGGGTTCTTCGCGCATCAGGAGCTAGAGGGCCACTCTAGGAGTAGCGAGGATAGATCTGAAGGGGGTCCAAACATTCTACTCGCTTTTTGCTTGTTTGTTCCTTTCATACTGCAAATTCTGACTTCAATTCGAAGCTAGTAGTGTTAGGAGCTCGAGCAATAGTCTACGCACAGCACTGGCATTGTGGGGCTTGTTCCAAAGGGATGCATGGGCACTGAAGGGAGAGAAGAGGAAGAGATGCAACCTGGGACTAGGGATGGGGAAGGCAAAGAGCAGAAAAGGGAAGATGAGACAAGAATGGGAAAGAGAGGGCAAGGAAAGGCAGCACGAGCGCAAGAGAGGAGCAGAGGATGAGGTTACGACAAGTCGCTATACGGCATCAAGCAAGCCCCGCGACTGTGGCAAGAGTGCCTGCATGCCCTACTGATTTGCATCGGCTTCCAGCAACTGCCACGCGATGTACAGACTCACAAAGGCAACAGAGTACATTCTACTCATCGTCTATGTAGACGACCTACTCTACATAGGCTCCACCGACGGCATCAGCACCTGGTTTGAAGAAAAGCTGCAGCAAGATCTCTCACTCACCCTTTCCTCCATCGTGACCCAATACCTCGGGCTCAACAAACTCGACAGATCTACCTCAGCGCCGCAAAATATGTCGACACCATCGTAAAACGCTTCGGATTAACGCCAGACGCCATCTCCACACTCTATCGCTACACCGCTGGAAATCACCAGGGAGAATCTAATCCACTCGGACCGGACAGCCTACGCGACTACCAGCGGAAACTAGGATGCTTGCTCTTCGCAGCCGTCATATGCCGACCGGACCTGTCATACTTGGCGAGCCAACTCGCTACCTATCTCAAAAGGCCTGAAGCAGAGCACATGGCGGAATTCGATCGCGCGCTACACTACCTTGTCAGCACACCAACTAACCTACCACAAAACTGCAACCACGACTCCAAAACACATCGGCTATGTGGATGCCGACTAAGCAGGCGACTCTGAGATGATTGCGCTCCGGCTACATCTATCGACTTGAGCCCGTCAGTCCTGTCTCGTGGCAGTCGAGCAAGCAAGAGCTAATTGCTCTCTCTTCAGCTGAAGAAGAATACATTGCACTCTACTCAGCCACCAAGGAAGGACTGTACCTTCGCGAAGTACTGGAAGAAGCAAAGCTGGCCCAATTACCCAGCTTCTCCCTCTTCCGCGACTTCCAATCGGCAATTCACATAGCGAACAAGAACGGGTTCGCGAATCGAACGAAGCACATTGCTTTGCGATACTTCTTAATGAAAGACGAGATCGAGAAAGGAAGGCTCGAGCTATCCTACTGCCCCACGTCCAAGATGGCCGCAGGTTATTTAATCAAGAAACTCGGAAAGTAGAAGTTCGAGTACTGCATGCTGCTAACTGGACAAGGCCACGTCACCAGCAACGAAAGCGACAACACTCCAGAAACGAAGGGGAGTGTTGGAAACATATAAGTTTGCGCTTATGATGTGTCGAGCACTATAACAAGAACCAAGCAGACTCGTAGCGAAACAACATCAGGTCAACCGAGCTACAGCGAAGCGGTTGACAAAAGGGGACAACAGCAAGAAGTTGAAGCGTCAAAGGTCAGCGACCTTTGACTTGACGAAAACAGCACGACAGCAATGACAAATAACTGACTTGATATCGAGCAGCAGCAGCAGCAGTTACAATTGCAGTTAGTTAAACCTTTCACATTCCCTGTAATCATATAAAAGATTTGTATCCCTATGTTGTAATCAACTTATCTTGTTCTCACACACTACTGCAAGGTGGTTCAATCAGTTTCATTTTAACGCTTCCGCTAATACATTATCAGCATGAGCCTTAGTCATTGAAACGATCCTAAGGGCTTTCTCAGCCCAACGATAGCGAGGATTGCACTAGGGTGTCAAAAGAGTACAAAGTATGAGCAAAGGCATGAGCAAAAAAATCGAAACATGCCAACGGTAACACGGTGTGTGCGAGCTAGCTAGTGCTAGGCTGGCATTGAGGTTCGGGCTAGTCCCGAAGCGTAGGCCGACTCGGCCTGGCCAGCGATGCATGGTTTGGTGAAACAGTGCTCGCAAAATTGGCGAAGCCTTGTTAGCAGTAACGGGCGAACAACGGCTGTTGTTGTACGCGATGTTGATGGTCCCAGTAAGGAATGGCGAGAAAATTCCTTACAACACTCTTCTCATTACAACAGTTGGTCCCCCTTTACATTCGGGACTCTTCAGCGAATCAGGTTACCCTGTGAATTTGCGTAGCTACAGATGATGTAGATGTCCCTAGATAGATCGACGGCAGGGCCGATCGAGGGAGGGGTCGTGTCCTAATCCGTTCCGTTCCTCACGCTCTGGATGCGGTTTGGCTTGAAAAGTGCTGAAACCTGTGGCTTGGTTTGGGTGGAGGAAAGGGTTGTAACGAACTTCACCAACGAATTCTGGTCACAAATAGCATCCTGTTTGCCGTTCGATCTACTCCATTGTGCGGCCGATTTCGTTTCACGAAGGAATCTTTTTGCAGGGAATCTTTTTGATAACGCAGCCCTCGTTACCAGCAGCAGGAAACCCACAATTGATCGCACCAGCTGCTGCTGTTCTGACCCTGACGGCAAGTTGCTCACTCGCTTCCTCTCCTTTCCTCCCTCCTCTTCCATCCACTAGCAGCAGAAAGCCACAACTGGTGGACGCTTCTGTGCCCGCAACTTTTAGGGCTCGTCGTCTCGGTGCGTCTCGCTTCTGGCTGGTCAATTGTCGTCGGCAATGCAAGAAATTACTGGTAAACGGAGGGGCTCTTAATTGATCATCGCGGACTGCAGTAAGGGTTACAGTGATGTTTCCCGGTTGCGATTGCCTCGTCGAGGCTGCATGATAATCGCTCTTCGCAATTCTACGGCACCGTTGGGTGCCAGGACAGCAATTAGTTTGATCAGCTCTGACTGCTGGTCAGTGAACCGAGTCTGTGAAGTGCTGAAAGCCTGAGAAGTAGGCCGATACTGCTGAAAGCCTGAGAAGTGCAGAGGCCGATACTGCTGAAAGCCTGATAACTGCAGTTAGTTGATATGTGAGCTTGCTATCTGACATCGGAGGAGTCAACGCAGGCAACCGCATTCCCATGGACTCCAAGCCACGTGGGACTCCGCGAAACCAGCAGCAGCGGGACACTCAGCCGAAGCATCAGCAAACGCAAGACGTCCTGTACCTCCCACCCCCCGCGTTCCCCATTCAGCCGCCGCAACAGCAGCAGCACCAACGAATGCTGCTGCAGCAACAGCAGCAGCAGCAGCAGCAGCAGCAGCAGCAGCAGCAGCAGCAGCAGCAGCAGCAGCAGCAGCAGCAGCAGCAGCAGCAGCAGCAGCAGCAGCAGCAGCAGCAGCAGCAGCAGCAGCAGCAGCAGCAGCAGCAGCAGCAGCAGCAGCAGCAGCAGCAGCAGCAGCACCAGCAGCAGCAGCAGCAGCAGCAGCAGCAGCAGCAGCAGCAGCAGCAGCAGCATTTCAAGTTCGAGCAGCTGGCATCAGGCGAGGTTTCTCCAACGACCATGTTGGACCGTCGCAGCTCGCACCTGTCTCCCATCCCTCTCACTTTCGCGGGCGGTCATGTTTACGCTGAAGGGTTCTACGCCAACTCTCCGCCAGTCGCTTTCTCATCCATGTTCGGTAGCGAGGGGGCGCTTGACAACTTAGATGGTAACAATGCTGCAACGGGTTCGTCGAGATTCGCCAAGGAGTGCGAGGTTGGCGAGAGCGGGAACGCGGCTTCTGTAATTATCGCCGGGGAAACTTGTAACGGGGAAGAGATGGATCGTGACAATAACGAGGGTCAGATGGAGGTGGGGGGTCTGGAGAACATTTGGACCGACGAATCAGATAAAATCGAGAACGTGGAGGGGAGGTTCGAGGGGAGGCTGGAAGGCAGATCGGAAGGGAGATCGGAGGAGAGGGGGATGACGAGGGGGCGCCAAGCGAACGGCGGGAGGGAAAAAGACACGGGGGATGCGTACGGGCCGACAGCAGCGGCCGGAACGGGCTGTGATTGGCCGACGTGGCCTGAGTACACTCCGGACGAAGCCATTGGAGCTGACTGGGCGGAGCTGCTGAAGGTGGACGACGAGGTGGGGGTGGCTCTGAGTGGTTCACGGGAGAGGAAGGAAGGGCTTTTTTACTTGGGGTGAAAGCCTTGGGCTGGGTTTGTGTCTCTTTTGAGATTTCTCCAAGGTGGCTCTGGTTTCTTCGGGGGAGAAACAGGAAGTGGTCTTAGAAACCCGTTAGGTACAGGTATAGTTGTATGGGATGTGCTACGGGAAGCAACAGGCAAAGTTGGCTCCTTGGTCAATAGTTTGTTGGACCATTCGAGTTCCGCGTGCGTGCTTGCTCCGCTCCGCTCACTGCTTGCTCCGCTCCGCTCACTGTTTGCTCCGCTCACTGCTTGCTCCACTCCGCTCACTGCTTGCTCCGCTCCGCTCAATGCTTGCTCCGCTCCGCTCACTGCTTGCTCCGCTCCGCTCACTGCTTGTAGCATTCCGCCTTCTCTTTCTGCCGACGTTCATTTTCAAAACTCCTTTGCGGTTCGCCGCCGTCGAGTCTTTGTGCATGTGTTGTGTGTCGCCGCTCATCTCTCTCCAATCCATTCCATTCCATTGCTCACCACCTGTCTGTCTGTCCGTGCCTGTCCTGTCGAATAGTCGGCCGTTCCTAATCGTGCTGCTCTCGCTGCAGGCAGCAGCTCCTTCCCTCTTCTTTGTCATCCTCCATTAATCTCGCTCTCTCTACAGCTGGTTCTCTTTTGAAGCTAGACCCAGCACAGAGGTGGGAGGGCAGCAAAGCGAAGCGACCCTTGAGTGAGTCTGCTCATTTGTCAACATCTTATTCTTGTTCCATTTTCTTTGTTGCCTTGCCTTTACAGGTGGTGGTGCCGTCCAAGCTGGAGACAGCTCAAGCGGGAGGGCCGCAGGGCTCGTCGTCCTCCCTTCCCTGGGAACTCCGCTACCAGCAACCGCAGCAGCAGCAGCAGCAGCAGAAGCAGCAGCAGCAGCAGCAGCAGCAGCAGCAGCAGCAGCAGCAGCAGCAGCAGCAGCAGCAGCAGCAGCAGCAGCAGCAGCAGCAGCAGCAGCAGCAGCAACAGCAGAACCAGCAGCAACACCAGCATCACCAGCAGCAGCAGGAAGGAAACCAGCAGCACCAGGAGCAGCAGCAATCACTTCATCATCAGCAGCAGCAGGAGCGACACGACCTGTTTGCGAAACGCCCAACCTCTCGGGAAAACCGTTCTGCAAGCCAAGATAGCCATCAGCGGCAGCCGCAGCAGCACCACCACCACCAGCACCATCATCACCACCATCACCAGCAGCAGCAGCAGTACCAGCCGCACCAGGCACAACACGCAAGCACACCCAACCCCACCTTCCCACCCCCATCTCACCTCCCCGCCTCGCCGCTCTCCAGGCCGCCATACCCGCCCTTCCACAACCCCTACTCCTCCCCCGACCTCCCGTTCTCCCTGGTTGCGGTGCCAGGCATGTACGCACAGATCCACCCAGGGGGAAGGGACCCTCTGCCCCTGTCGCCGCTGCCCCTGTCGCTGGGGGGGATGCCTTGCGCCCTCCCCGTGGCTGCGCCCGCATCCTCTGCTTCCACTGCTGGGAACAGCGGTGGTGTGGGAGGGGGGGGCGGAGGGCGCGGGGGAGGGGGAGGGGAAGGGGGAGCGGGACGCGGAGGCGGAGGAGGAGACGGGACGGGAGCTTTGTCGCAAGGAGCAGCAGTGAATGGTAACGCTGCCATTGCTGGCACTGCTGCCATAGGCGCTGCTGGTGCCAGTGCAGGGATGCAGGGCCATGGTGGGGCCGCGGGTGGCACTGGTGGAATGGATGGGGTAAGCATGTGCCGGATCGACACTATAGGGGGGATGAATCTGCTTGCCCCGGGGACGGACGCTGCTGCCGCCGCGGCGTCTGCTGCCGCGTCTGCTGCTGCCGCCACCGCTGCTGCAGCTGCTGCTTCGGGCGGAGGGGTGGTGGCGCCCGCGGGGTCACTGGGAGGGGTGGCGCCCGCGGGGTCACTGGGAGGGCGCGGAGGGGAAGGGGGAGCGACGAGCAGCGTGGGCGGGGGAGGGGCGTTCAGCATGGGGGGAGGAGGCGGCGGGTTCAGCAGCGATGGGGGGAGTTCCGGCAAGCACCGGCTGCGGTGGACGCCAGAGCTGCATGAGAAATTCGTGGAGGCTGTCGCAAACCTGGGAGGGGCTGACAGTAAGTCTGCTTGTCTTGTCTGCCTGTGTGATGTGATGTGACTGTTGGAAAGAGGGGGGTGTGTTGTGCATGTCTTATTCCCCTAGCACAGGCTGCGGTGGACGCCAGAGGCAGTCGCGGACCTGGGAGGGGCTGACTGGAAGTTTCTTTCTTTCTTTCTTCTTCTTTTGCCTCCGTCCGTTCTTTCTTCCGTATTGTTGGCTGACATGGCAGTACGTCATGGCTGGATGGAAAGGGTGCCATTTATTCCCTCCATGCCCCCCGCCTCCCTCTCTCGCTGCCAGTTCTGCTCCCGTTTCCACTTACCTCTCCCTCTTTTCCCTCTCTCTTCTCCCCATGCCCCCCCCCCCCCTCCCGTTCCAATTGTTCTCCCCATGCCCCCTCCCGTGTCGTGCAGAGGCGACACCCAAGGGTGTGCTGCGAGTGATGGGCGTGCAAGGCCTCACCATCTACCACGTCAAGAGCCACCTGCAGGTGCGTGTGTCAAGAGCCACCTGCAGGTGCGTGCGTCAAGAGCCACCTGCAGGTGCGTGTGTCAAGAGCCACCTGCAGGTGCGTGCGTCAAGAGCCACCTGCAGGTGCGTGCGTCAAGAGCCACCTGCAGGTGCGTGCGTCAAGAGCCACCTGCAGGTGCGTGCGTCAAGAGCCACCTGCAGGTGCGTGCGTCAAGAGCCACCTGCAGGTGCGTGTGCCAGTACCATCGCCATCTATAGGAATGCATGATGCATGCATGTATGTCTGGTTGGTGTGGTGGTATCATTGGACTTGGTCATGGGCATGTAGGTGCTCACCTCACCATTTACCATGTCAAGAGCCAAATGCAGGTGCGTTGTTGTGTGTGTCACACGAACCATCTTCAGCCGTCAGGCATGCATGCATGCATGGTTGGTGCAGTGGTAGTATCATGGGACTGGGGCGCACTGAATGCCATGCCATGGCATGGGCGTGTGTGCAAGGGTTCACGAATCACAATGTGCCATGTCAAGAGCCACGTGCAAGTGAAGATTTCTTAGTCAACGCAAAGTTCTTGGGCCGCTTTAACATTTCGTGCTTCTCCCCCTTCCACCCTTCCCCCCTGCCCCCCTGCCCCCCTGCCCTCCTGCCCCCTCCCCCTTGTCCCCCCTCCCCCCCTGCATATGTTGTCCCTCTCTGCAGAAGTATCGACTCGCCAAGTACCTTCCAGATCCTTTGCCTTCCACACCCCGAGAACAGGGTAAGTTCATAGAGTACACCAACAGCTGAACTGGCCACGGAACCACAGAGCATACATTCCTGAAGTAGTCTGCCGAGCCAGCTCTCTGCCAAGCCTACGCTCTCCCGAGCCTACGTTCTTACAAACCTGCACTGCAGGGTGTGTAGTTTTGTTTGAGACTTCACAAGTTTACGAGTGCAGGGAGCAGCAGAATCTACAGAGTGTCTATTGTTCATAACCCCACATATTTTTCCCCTGACTGACTGAAATCACCTCACGTCATCCGTGTTGCTGGTATTTTCTTCATTCAAATCTACTGCCCCTTAAATCTGTATGATTCATCAGTTCCTTTCCTCCCTATCCCTCCCGCTAAGCCTCCCAGAGCCAAGGCCGGAGAGGGCAGAGAAGGCCCCCGAGCGTTTTGCTTCTGGGGTTTTTTTCTTTTATTTTATTTTTTCCATTCAAGTCTACTGCACCTTATCCTGTACGGCGGCCGCAGCAGCAGTGGCGACGGCACCGCCGTTTCGCCGCCGACGTTGCTGCTGTTGCTGCTGATGCGAAGAATTCCGAGCAATTCACCTGTCTGTCCCTTTCCGCCCTCTCCCTCCTGCTGTCCCTCCCAGAGCCAAGACCGGAGAGGGCAGAGAAAGCCCCCAAGCGGATTGCCTCTGGAGTCTTTGCACCTGCGCCCGTCACACTAGCTCCGCCCCCCTTCCCTCCTGCTGCTGCTGCCGCCGCCGCCGCTACCGCGGCCGGCGCTGCAGCTACTACTGCTACTGCTGCCACTTCTGGTGCTGCTGCTGTGGCCGCCACTACCGCTGCGGCTGCGGCTGCCGCTGCGGCTGCTGGCTCTCTGGGCTTCCAGCATGATGCTACAGACGGCGAGCCTTCGTCGCTCGACCCTGCTGTGTATGTCCTTCACTCCCTAACCCACACCACCGCCGCCCATCTCTTTCCCACTCTCCCTTCCCCCCTCTCCCAACTTTATCTAAAACCATGTCTCATCCTTGCTTTACCTTTGCTTCGCTTGTTGCTGACTATATGTCTTATTCAATTCTTATGTTCCGGTTCCCTCTCCCCCGTCCTTCTCACTGCTTGCTTCGTGGACTGCAATATGTGCAGCGTATCGTTTGAATAGACTCAAAAATCACCTCCTTTTAATCATCTAAGCATCCTGAACGCCGAGAGACATGCATAAGCGCCTTCCCATGCAGAAGCGCCTTCCCATGCAGCTGCAGCTGCAGGAGCAAGTCCTGATCCACTCCTTGTGTGCTTACTTGCTCTCTCTCCCTCCCTCCCTCCGCGCTTGCAGCATTCGCAACATCCCGATCACAGAGGCTCTCAGGATGCAGATGGAGGTGCAGAGGCGGTTGCACGAGCAGCTGGAGGTGCAGCGGCAGCTGCAGCTGAGGATTGAGGCGCAGGGTAAATACCTCCAGAAAATCATAGAGGAGCAGGTAAAGGCGAGTGGCATGGTTGTTGCCAGTAGGTCGTCCACTGCCGGTGGGGCAGTCACGTCTGCTGACCCCGCTGGGGCTCTCAACGCGGGAGCGGGGGGAGGAGCGGGGCAAGGAGGGGAGGGTGGGGAAGGAATGGTGACAGGCCGGGAAACTGACGCTGGTCCATCTGCCGATGCTGCTGCTGCTGCTAGTGCTGCTGGTGGTGCTGCTGTCGGTGCTGCTGCTGCTGCTGCCGCTGCTGGCCATGTTGGTGGGTTGGCAGGGCACAGTGGGGAGATCTCCCTAGGGGTGAGCTCGAGTATGGAGAAGCCGTTGGATGCCCGCTATGGTGCTGCATCAACGGCTGCTGCTGCTGCTGCTGCTGACGATGCTGCTGCTGCTGCTGCATATGTTTGCTACGTTTCTCACCCCGCTCCTCACTACTTCCCACCAACTCCTCTTCATGCTCATGCTTCTGCCGCCGCTGCTGCCACTGCTGCTGCCGATGCTCCTGATGCTGCTGCCCCCTCTGCTGCAAGCGGTTCTGCTGTCGCTGCTGCTGCTGGTGTCCCCGGGGAGATAGCACCGAATTCGTCTTCGCTCTTATCCAGCTCCCCCCAACCCCAACTCACTGCCACCCCAGCTGCACCCACCCCAGCTGCACCCAATCAGCCCTTCTTAGTGGTGTCAGCTAAGCAGCCCAAGGCCCCTCCGCGCCTGGTCTGCTCCCCCCTCTCCTCCACCCGCCTGCTCCGCCCTCTACCATCCCCATCCGCTTCCCCTGCCCTCTCCGCACCACCATCCCCCGCAATTGCGATGGAACCGCCTGGAGCTGCACCTGGGATTTCTCCTGCTGCTGCTCGTGTAACTGATACCTCTTCTGTTGCACCTGATGTTTCTGCCGCCCAGTTTGCCTCTCAGAGTATGTATGGGGCAGCTGCACCTGGGACTGCACCGGCACCTGAGAATCCACCTGGGATAACCCCTGCTTTAGGTGGGCCGTGTGGGTTGTCGGGGCAGGAGAGGGGGAGGAGGAAGAGGCAGAGGACGAGGGAGGTGATTGTAGACGTGTGTGGGGACTTGGAGGATGTGTGTGGGGAGGTGGAGGAGGAAGAGGAGTGTGGGGAGACTGAGGAGGTGGATGAGAGGGGAGGTGATGCTGGTGATGGTGGTGGTGATGGTGGTGGTGATGATGGTGGTGGTGGTGGTGGTGGTGGTGGTGGTGGTGGTGATAGTGATAGTGATGGTGATAGTGGTGGTGGTGGTGGTGCTGCTGCTGCTGCTGCTGCTGCCACTGCTGCTGGTGATGGTGCTGGTGCTGGTAGTATGTCAGCCGCTGCGCCCATCTCTCGCAGCGCCAGCTATGTGTCTTTACAGCAGCAGAGGCAGAGGCAGCAGGGGCGGAGTAAAATGCAGACTAGCATGGGTGCGGGTGCCATACCAAGCGCGTCCCACAGCCTTCCATACACCCCAGCCCATTCCCCAGCGCCACCACCTGCCGCTTCTGTGGTTGCACCTGTGGCAGGTCATGCTAGCGTCCCATTACAGTCACACCCGCATACAGGCACTCATTCAGTCCCGCCTCCCCCTTCCCATCTGGCCCATCATCCCCCACCAAACCATACCCACTACCATGCCATTCCACACCCCTCCTCCTCCCACCCCCAGCACCACGCCATGCCACCCCCCCCTCACTTCATGTATTCCATGCCAGCGGGCATGCATGGGTATCCGCCACCGCCCATGCCGCCTGGCATGGCAGCACACTATGCCATGCCTGGCGCGATAGGGCATCACATGCCGCAGCAGCACGCCAACATGCCCCAGCATCCTAACATGCCGCAACATGCCAGCATGCCGCAACAGGCCAGCATGTATTTGAACGTTCACCCAAGCATGCATCCCAGCCATCCAAACCATCCAGGCCATCCCAGCCATCCAAACCATCCGGGCCATTCCAGCCATCCAAACCAGCAGCACTCAGGTCACACGGGTGGTCATGGAGGGCATGGCTCTGCGTACATGTATGCGGGAATGCACCCTGCCACCACTGCCACTGCTGTGTCATCCGCGCCATCAGGCCACCCTTACCCCTTGGCTTTCAGCCCTCTTCCTGTGATGCAGCCGCAGCAGCAGCAGCAGCAGCAGCAGCAGCAGCAGCAGCAGCAGCAGCAGCAGCAGCAGCAGCAGCAGCAGCAGCAGCAGCAGCAGCAGCAGCAGGGAGGTGGTTTCAGCCAAGGTGGTGTGTCCAACGCACCCATGCAGCCGCTTACTTGGGCCCAACCTGGCATACAAGGCTCCAACCCTCGTGCTGTCGGCAGCACCTTGGTCCTGCTCTCCCCTAGGGATGCTGCTGCTGCTGCTGCTGTGGCACAAGAGTCAGCCGGTGGAGGTGCAGTCGGGGGGGCCGGGGGTGGGGGAGGAGGAGGGGGAGGGGGAGGGGGAGGGGGAGGGGGAGGAGGAGGGGGAGGGGGAGGGGGGAGGGGGAGGATCGCAGCAGCGGAAGCAGAAGAAGGTGCGTCAGCAGAGGCATCAACAGCAGCAGCTGGCAGCGGTGGTTGCAGCTGGGATGCTTGCAGGGAGGACGCAGTATCACCAGCAGCAACAGCAGCAGCAGCAGCAGCAGCAGCAGTAAACGGGTTGTTGCGGCGGAGGCAGAGGATGGTGGGAAAGCAGAGGCGGCATCAACAGCAGCAGCTGGCTGCGGTGGTTGCAGTGGGGTTGCTTGCAGGGAGGACGCAGTGTCACCAGCAACAGCAGTGGTCGTATGGGGTGGGACGCATACACACTACTACGTTATGGGATATTACAATATTTTTTGCAATCAATACCATACTGCTTATTGCCTGATTGCTTGTACGGTACCGTAGTTATGATTTGCGATCTCCACTTGGGTTTGGCAGATAAAGCCCGAAGTCAGTATGGTGTTCATAAATCCTGAACTTGAAAAAGTGTTGGCGAAAGACTAACATCGAGAATATGGCCGGGGCGAATGCAAATTCAGGAGGCGGTGTATGGTAAAATAGAGTTTGTCACGCTACTGTGCGATTGTTGTTTTGGAGAATCTGGGTGTGGCGAACGATGCAGTGTGTGAGTGTTGACGGGAAATGACCCCGCTCTCGCTTGGCAGAAGCAGACTTCGTGGTCGGGGGCGCGCAGAAGTCGCGCAGACTGCGTGCTCGTCTAGGCAAATGCGGCTCGACGGAGCGTCGAGCTGGTCGACGCGGGTAGCTTGACTGCGAAATTCGATGCGTAGGCGAATGTCGCCCAGGAGGTTTTCGCGAAGTCTACACGCGGAACGGCATTACGTGCTCGACGGTGCACGGAAAGACATAACGTGTAGGAATAATGACTAGAGGGATGAGATGAGTACAAGTACTAGGTCTAACCCTGAAGTCTTGTACTCAATAGAGGCTACCCCACTATTGTCTACAGACATACAAACATAGTTTGACACACCCCCATATGCAAAGTGGGGGATAGCAAGAACAACCAACGGTCACAAGACCAGTCAAGCAAGAGAACAAAGCAAAGCAAAGCTAAGGGTGGATCTCAAGATCACCATGCAGTTTGAGCACAAGCAAACGACCACAAGGCCAGTTCACATGCAGAGTTAAAAAAACGCAAGCAGTACAGTGATCACAACCTAGCAAGAGCAAGCATGCAGGTATAAATATATTGATCACAGTACAAAGCAAGGTCAAGCAGTAAGCAAGTGAGGCAGAGTAGGCATACCGTCATACCCCGGATATACCCCCATGGGTGTCAGAAACAAGAAGTGCAAAAGAAGAATGACGAAAGAGGAGGTTTCACTAGCAGCAGTTGGGGTACATATAGCAAACCCTAACTGGGTTGTACTCGCTATAGAGCACCCTACTACAGGCTAGATAAGAACATTCTGACACACCCCCATAGCCAAAGTGGGGTGTAATCAGCACAATGAGCAGACATAGTAATAGTTCACAATTATAAGCAAAGCTAGAGGCGATCACAGAGGGCAAGTGAGGAGGAAGAGGAATTGTGAAGGGAGAGAAGATGGGAGACGACGGCTGAAGCTGCAGACACACGGGCAACAGGAAGACTGGCACAGTGGCTACCGAGCGCACGAGGGCACCGGACTACGGAAGTATCTGGCTCCGCGGCTACGACAAGCGGCAGGAGCAACGGACCCACAGGCGACTGGCACAGCAAGGCTCTCTGCGCACGACACGACGGCGGCCTCCTCTCAGCCTCCCCAAACAGTCCCACCTCCTTTCCACACACCCCCTGCTGCACCCCTAGCTCCACCCCCACGTCACCCCCACAACTCCACTCCCGCGGCTTCCACACCTCCACCCCCCTCAGCAGCAGCTGCAGCAGTGGGAGACGAACAAGGAGGAGGGGAACACCCACACCGCGCACCCCCATGCTTGCCACCCCACACCCGCCACCACCGCGGAACGCACGGCGGCACGGGAGGAATGGGCAGCACGGGGGGGGGGGGGGGGGGGGTGGGGGGGCTGCTCCTCAGGGCGCCGAAACGGACGGGCGGGGGGGCGCGCGCGGTTCCCCAGGGCGCCGCGACAGACGGGCGGGAGGCGCGCGCGGCTCCCCTGGGCGCCGCGACGGACGGGCGGGGGCCGCGCGCGACTCCCTAGGCCGCCGCGACGGACGGGAGGGGGCCGCACGCTACTCCCCAGGGCGCCGCGACGTACGGGCAGGGGGCGCACGCTGCTCTTCAGGGCGCCGAGACGGACAGGAAAGGGGGCGCGCGTGGCCTGCAGGGCGACGCGACGAGACGGGCGGGGGCTGTGCGCGGGTCCCCACAGCAGAAAACCGCCGCGCGCCCCGAGCGCACGGCAGGAAGAAGATGTCGCGCGCCCGAGGTGCGCGAGAAGTAGAATAGCAGCGGAAGCAGTTAGGTGGCGGGCCCACCCACAGGATCGACCCAAGGGGGTCGACCTGCTCTGATAGCATGTCAGAAACAAGAAGTGCAAAAGAAGAATTGACGAAAGAGGAGGTTTTACTAGCAGCAGTTGGGGTACATATAGCAAACCCTAACTGTGTTGTACTTGCTATAAAGCACCCCACTACGGGCTAGATAATAACATTCTGACAATGGGGGGCAATAATAAAACTTGTTTTTTAGGGGGGTGGGCTTATAATCGAGTAAATTTACAAGCGCCGGTGTTTATAAAATGACTTATATGTTTTTTTATATTTTTTAACACCAAACTGTAGATCTCGTGCTTGCCTTTTCAATCGAGTCGAAGTTACATGGGGTCGTCTGTGAAATTCTCGCGTGCGCATGGAGATACACCCAATCTGACTCACATCCAGCTCCTGACAGCTCCTGCTGATTGGACCCGTATCCAGTGCAGGGTCCGAATGTGAAGGGAACCATTCTGCAACACATCCACCTGCTAAAGTAAAAATCGTTACAGCGTTTTGAACACATTTCAAAATTTAAAGTTTACCTGCGCTTATAATAAAACAAGTTTTTTCAGGGGGTGCGCTTATAATCGAGCAGGGGATATAAGCGCCACACGCCAATTAAAAGCGCCAGGCGCTTATCCCAGGGTGGGGCTTATATCCGGGGTATGACGTGTGAGAATGAGAACGAGAATGAATAAACTATGAGCGAAGTGGGTACAAGTACTAACCCTAATTGGGTTGTACCCCCTATGGGATACCCCACTATAGCCCACACAAACGCATAAGCTATAATGTTCTGACACACCCCCATAGGCAAAGTGGGGGAGAACAAGGGGTCACAAGACCAGTCAAGCAAAGCAGAGCAAAGCAAGCTCAGGGTGGATCACAATGTCACCACACAGTCTGAGCACAAGGTCAAGGCCACAAGGCCAGTTCACATGCAGGAGGAGACATATATATATAAGTCTAAACAAGCAAGAGCAGGCATACATATATGCAAGAGTACAAGTAAGGTCAAGAGGTGAGCAAGTGAGGCAAGACTGGGACAAGTCCCAGCTGAGTACAGAAACGCTGATGATCACAAGGCGGAAGTGCCTTGGTGAAAACATCAGCAGTGTTGGCCTCAGAGGCCACGTACGAAAGTCGTAACTGACCACGCTGCTGCAGCTCACAAGCAAGAAAGTAGCGGAGAGCAATGTGCTTCGTTCTGTGCTCCAGGCGCCGCTCTCGACACAAGGCCAGCATGGCCTTGTTGTCTACGTACAGCACTGGAGGAGAACGAGGCGGCTCTCCAAGGTCAGTCAGCAGGTAGGTGAGCTAGCAAACCTCCTGAGCAGCCATGGCCCCGGCGTAGATCTCAGCCTCACAACTGGAGCCGAGAACAGAAGACGAGCGAGTAGCCCGCCACGAAACAGAGCCGGAACCAAGGCTGAAGGTGTAACCCTGCGACAACCGCTGCGTAGCCTGGTCGTCAGCCCAAGAAGCGTCCGCGTGC